GAGGAATCTTGTAAACTTTATGTCAGGGACGATTTAACAAGTCATGCAGGTTCATGACCGGATTTGACCACACCATGCCAGCTACTAGACCAACTTATTTAAATCCTAAGTCTCGAAAGTGTATAAAAAGGATTCCTTGTGAAATCATATATCACAACTTCATATCAAATCTGATATAAGAAAGAAATGGCTGGAAACCCATCGTCTTCTCAAACAATGCCTACAAGGATGAAGGCTTCAATTGAAAAGGCCGAAGCCGAGATTAAGAAGATCACCGATGACTGGTGGGCTAACAGGGAGAAACAAAACAAACACGAAGAATCTATTGAAGAGAAGAAAAAAGCAATCAAGCAATTGCAAAAGGAGATTCGAGCCGAGGAAAAAATTGTGAAAGACATCGCGAAGGGGTACCCAGTGATGCAATAAATGATCAATGAAAAACAGTACTGGATTGAGTCTTGCAAACAACTTTACCCAGAAGGAAACTAACATGAATGTTATGTATTAATGTTTTTGTTGTCGTTGATGTTTTTTTAGTTTAATGTTACGTCGAAATGGTGTTGTTTCAGTCTTTTCGTCAATGTATTGATGGTTAATGTTAATGCATTTCTAAATCAAACTTCCATTTCCCATTAAAACAACAAAAGTACACTTAAAAATCGTACATTTACTTACTTAAATCGTAAGTATCAAATACATAGTCTTGTGTAGTATCAGGTTCAGACGGACCACAATCGCTTGGACGACTAACTGATCTTCGACGACTACTTGAACTTCCGTGCGTCGGCCTAGAAGCTGGCATCGGACTCAGACAGTTATATCGAAAATGTCCCCTCTGGCCGCATCGACTACAAGTTTTCACTATTGGTTCCTCGTCTCGTGACGGGATACGATGCGGTTGCGTTTCCTGCCTGAGTTTTGTATGTCCAAGGGAGGGGGTAGGACGGTCAAACGTTTATTGGGCAACACATATTCAGCTTCTGGTGGAAGGGGAATGACTTCCTCCTCGTATGTTGCACGGTAAGAGTCAGAATTGAACCAAACAGAACAGAATTGACTGCAGTCTTGAATATCTAAACTTTGAGCAATAGAAATCACATGACCGCAAGCTATTCCAGAAAGTTGCCATTGCATGCATGTACAAGTCTTAGCATGCAAATCACACGTTCCTTTCTTAAACCGGTCGTCAACTTCAAACAACAAATCGCTAATGGAATATACCTTCCAATTTGCGCTCCTATGTATTCTCTTCTCTAATTTGGCCTCCGCCCAAGGAGTCACGGCATTCATCATTTGCATTGCAGATATTTGATATCATTAGCATATGTTAAATAATCAAACATATAGTCAAAGGCTGGTTGAATTTACCTCCGTTATGCCGACGTATGAAATACCATTGTTG